GATTTTCTTTATCTCTACTTGCGCCTTGTTTGCTTTAAAGTCTATTTTGTGTAATATTAAATATAACTTCTCCAGCTTTGATTTAACTAGTAATTTCCTGGTCATTACCCATGCCTATAATTGCGATTTTTCTTTGTCCTTAAATTTAAGTGTTTCTCTTGGGAATAGCAGATACTTATACTTAAAAAAAGAAAAAAAATCCTACTCAATATGAGAACCTCTGTTAACTGGTGAGTCTGATTTACTTGTATTTGCAATGATGGCTAATATAATTTGGAAGAATTTTTGCCATCTTATTTTGTGCATTTTATTTACTTTTTCTGGCTTGGTTTCTCTATCTATCCTGCACGACAACTGCTGTATTAGTGAGGTTGTTTATATTCCTTCTGTTTTCTGCCTTTACTGGTTTGGAAGCTGTATAGTCTATTTCTATCCTACTTGACTACCTTCAATTTTCCCCAAAAATCTTATTATGCAAATCTTCAAACATACAAAGAAGTTGAAAGAATTGTGCAGTGAACACTGTCTACCCACCACCTAGAGCTATCTTCGATTTAATCACTTACACCTAATTTAAGGTCTAAAGTTTATCAGCATCTCTAATTTCCTCCCATACAGTAAGGTCCACAGAAGGCTTTGACTGTGATCATTTACTTCCAAAAGTTTTCTACCTCGTGTTTTGTCATTGTTGCTGTTTTAACAGCTAACGCCTCTTTAGATTTTCCTTCTATTTTACCGAATTCTTTGATGAGCATTGCTTCTTGCACTGTACCTTTCTTGACTTTCTAGAAATAATTAATAGCAGCCTCTACTGCTACATCTGGCATCCTAAATAAACCATCCTGCATCTTAAAACACAGTTATAAGGCCACACCTTGTAGAAATCATCAGAGCCAAATTTTGACTCTCTGTAAATCACCTTTTCATAAGTTTATTTGCCAAGTAATCTGCAGTCTCGAAAACATCAAGGACTCGGTATAGCATCTCAGTATTTCCCTTCCACCTTCCCTTTCCCTGGCATGGCAGAACGTGCACAGGAGGTCCTCAATAAGTCAAAGAAGAAAGGACAGCATGCTTTCTACAAACACTTTCTCAACATAGGGGACCATAAAGTATATGCCTGGCTATTCGTGTATGTGTTGTTTATACTTCATTCTCCAATAAAAAGCCTCTTTCTGGGATTCTCTGGAGATGGCCTGAGGAAAACCACCCTGTAGATAAAGCACATCAGACTTCATTTGGGAGAGCCGGCACTTTTTCTGGCTTCCAGCTGTCACCAGTTCTGTGTCTTACCACTCTCTCTCTTTCTAGGACCTACTGCCCCATCTCTACAGCAGATGAGATGCATTACATAATCCTTAAATGCCTGAAAACTCGGAAAATTTTTCAGTACTCATTTCCATTATTCTGAATCCAGAAATTGTTAAAGAGACTGAAGAAAGGTGAAAGAGAATCTCATAAAAATGTCCCTAGTGTACTGACTTCGAGCAACAGTGCTAAACAAGTTTTCAAAAAATTGAAAGAAATTTCCGCATTAAACACACCTCTCTGTGCCTCGCCCAGAAGCAACATGACTGAAATCTTTGCCTGGCCCTTCTCTTCAACCTGGCTCTGTGACAAACCCAGCCTTCTCCCTATTTTTTTTTTTTTTGAACTCTGAATTGTTCAAGTGGATGTTGCTGTTAGGTGTCATCGAGCTGACTGGGACTCACAGCGATCCCACGTGACAGAGTAGAACTGCTCTAGGCTGTAATCTTTATGGCAGCAGATCACCAGGTCTTCCTCCTTCAAGCGCATAGCACATATGAAGGCAAGATGGGGAAAGACATAAAGCCTGGAAAACATGTCCCCACGGTCACCAAGGACAGCCCAGGGATACATACATATCCCTGAAAACAGGACCCGGCTATCCAGCTTAAAATCAGGGAAATGTGGCCTCACTGTTTTAATTAAAAGGTGATGCACATCCTGAGCAAGTCTTACCTGGGTGGTATACACAATAATGTACACAATTAAATATCTACATTAAATGAAAACACCTCATTACTTAGACTAGATTTGGTTTAATTGAAAAGTAAATCAAATTTGTAAGGAAAAACAATTACCAACAGGCACAATAAGCTTGTTTTAATTTGGAATCTGAGTAAGAGTACACGTATCACTAGAGGCGTGAGCTTCATAATACAGCCTGAGAAGCAAGGAAACTGACTAAGTAAAACTGCTTCACCTTCGCTCACTCAGATTGTGACGGAAGGGCCATTATCAGTGAGGGTCAGTATGCAGCATCCTGCAGGACCATGAACTAAAGTGCACACGGCTAAGGCCGCTACCAACCCTCAGATGCTGGTGTGCGGTCTCAGCACAAGCAGTCAGCAGGTACAGTAACGTTGGCTGTGAGCGGGCTGGCACAGCCAGGGACGCTAGGAAAGAGACAAAAGGACTTTGTAATCACATTTTTAAGTATAATTTTGCTGCATATTAGGAGACCAGTGAAAGCAGCAACTTTTTCCTGAATGCAGGAATGCCTCTGAAAATGATAGAGCTCAATGTTAGAAGTCAGAAGCCATTTGCAGAAAAATTCTTTAAGTAACTGTGAATGGGGGCAGTGGTGGTTCAGTGGTAAAATTCTAGCCTTCCATGTAGGAGACCTGGGTTTGATTCCTGGCCAGTGCAAGTCAAGCCACATCTATCAGTGCAGGCCTGTATGTTGTTGCTATGATGCTGAAGAGGTTTCAGTGGAACTTCCAAACTAAGACAGACTAGGAAGAAAGGCCTGGCAATCTACTTCAGAAAATCAGCCAGTGAAAACCCTATGGATCACAATGGTTTGATCCCGGGGTGCACGGGGTCACCAGGAGTTGGGAGTCGACTTGAGAGCCCCTAACTACAATCGTGAAGAAACCACTTTTCCTCTCTGAGCCCCCTACCACATCTATCACATAAAATACTGCTTTCTCAATTCACAATGGGGGCCTGGAGAGTAGTTGGGCCAGGCCTCAGAAGAAAAGGTGTTAATTAAATGATGAGGGTATGATCCTACAGCCAGACTTGGGCACCAGCTGAATGGTTACATCTGGAGCTCCTTCCCACCAGGGCCACACAAGTTTACAGCTGGGAAAGGGTAAAAACAGGTCAATTTTTTATTTAAAAATGTTTGGTTCATAAATCTCCCCTCCAGTCTCTCCTATTCTTCATCAGTCTCTCATAGAGGCAGATAGAAACAAAGCATGTTGGCTCCTCCAGGGCCTAATGAGTTCTTGATGTCTATTTATCAACTTCCACGGCCATAATCCTCAGGTTTATGACATCATATGTATCTAAGGGACCAGCTGTGAGGTTAAACTGTGGGAACGGGGAAACTGCTATAAGTACGTGTGTATGTGATCCTTTGTAAGGCATCTGTGGGGCCACGGAACAGAGAGAAAGGCCAGTTTCCCATGGCTCCCATAGGAAGGAAGCCATGTGGGCTGCGGAGAAATGAGTCCTGAGGAGCCCTTGACCATACAACTTGTGTGGATAATACAGAACCAAGTGACAGGAGCTGCTCAGAGTCAAGGCCACAGCATGGTACACTGTAGGACAAAGCATAACGTTACAAAGTCTCCCTGGGATTCAATAACCCAAGGGTAGTTTTGTTTTGAAACAATTCAGTTTAGACCAAACAGCAGGTGAAAGTTGGGTTTTCTTCTTAATCAAGGGCACATGCTGGTCCTGACTTCTTCCACCAAAGTGAAAGGGGGTCAAGTGTCAAACGAGCACTTACACCATCTTCTCCCCTTGACACAGTTGGACGCAATACAACTGATGGCCTCCTCAACATACCTCATGCTGCACGTCCTCCCACTGCCCGACGGGCATCCACATCAGGTTCCAAGAAGTCTCCAAAGTCTCCACAAGTTACTCTCTAGGTAACAGCATGATATTGACCACATTGACCACTTTTTTTTGGCCTCGCCTACATGTTTCATCTGCATCTCCATGATGGGATCTGCTGTGAGTAGCCAATCAGTTGAAAGGGAGTTTCCTTAGGGGTGTGGCCTGCATCCAACATAGGTGGACTTTCTAGCCAGGCTTTCGGGCTTTCGCTGGTTCTGGATCCTGCAGCTGGCTGCTGTACATCTGACCACTGGTTCTTGGGACCTGAGCTAGCAGCTTGTCTGCTAATTTTGGGATTTGTCAGCCTCTGCAGCTATGTGAGTTGGGAGAAGTCTTAAACCTGACCCACGGACTTGGGACTTCCCAGCCTCTACAACCATGTGAGCCATTTCTCTGATATAAATCTCTCTCTCTCTCTCTCCATATATATATAGACACGTCACTGGTTTGGCTTCTCTAGAGAACCCAGCCTAAGACACCAACTATGGCCCGTGTTCTGTGGGCCATGATGAATTAGAAGGATTGCTTTCTCTTGAATCTAGGAGTTTGAAGCCCGAAAGACTCGCCCCCATAACTTTATAAGGAGAACGAAAGGCCAGATGAGCGAAGAGGACGGACCGACTGTTCGAGGTGCACTCACGCTTTCAGAGCAACTAGGACCAGAAGGCTGTAATAAAAACATGACGCCTTCTCGTCTATACTCCGTGGCTCCAGGAGTCTGAGAAAATTATTAAAGACAATGAAGTCTGGTCCAATATGAAGAAGGAATGTTCTCACAGGGAGAGGGTGCAGGGTAGAGAGGGAAGTGAGTTCCTCACCTCCAGGGGTATCCTAGAACAGGCTAGAGAGGACGCCGTACCACCCGAACTTGAAACAAACACCCTTGACAGTTGTCATTCCAACACCGAATCTCTAGCCATTCTGCTTTTCCCAACGTCTGCAAATTCGACCATATATTCAACTGAGCAAAAGCTAACATTTTCATGACTGACTGACACTTGGGTGCGTATTTTGAGTAGCTGGCCCAAAAATAAATAGGTGGGAAGAAAATAAGAGGAAGAAGAAAACAAAAAAAAGAAGAAAAAGAGAAGAAGAGATACGAAAATAAATAAAAGGCCATTTACTCTAAGAATCCAGGTTTATGCTTATGGTCCACATGAGGTCCAAACTGGATCTGGGCTTGAAATCCACCAAATTCACAAGCCTTTTCGAAGGAGACAGGGTGGGAGCCGTTTAGGATGTCATCCCGAGCCTGAAACATAAGAGGAAGCCAAGGTATCAGGGGCTGGGGGACCGACCCACTCTGTCCACTGACAAGTCCTGACATGAGCACAGGGGAGATGTACCAGCCCACCCACAGGATGCCTTCAGCATGCTGTGGATGGTTGTAGCACAGGAGAATGAAGCCAAAAGGAAAACACACCTTTGCTCCAAACTGCCCAAATAGCTGGAGAGCATCAGCAGTGGCCAGCACATCAACACTGAAGGTTGATTAGAATCTAGGAAGGTATACGGGATCATGAAAAGCAGAGGGAGGCAAAGGAGCAGCCTTGTTCCACTAGCAGATTCATAGAGGCCGGAATAGAAATGTGATTTACCTTCTATGACCCCTAAATCATAAAGCCAGCAGAAAAAATATCTAGAGGTAAAAATCAATCCAATCCCTATTCCAAGACAAAGGAGATGGGGCGGAGGGGACAGACAGACAGACACACACAGGCAAGAATTTAATACTCAAGATACTTGGAGGGGGACAAGCAAATGCACTGTCGTAGAATCGGGAACTCACTGTGTCTGAGGTCTTCCTTTCCAGTTCTCAATCCATCAGCACTATTGCTATTTATCCCTCTTCTTTCTGTCCTTCCTCTAGTTAAATGATCCCCCAAATACTCTTAGATGTACACTCTTGGCTATCGCTCTGAGCCTTAAATCAATAAGCATTTTCTCATTGTCCTGTTATTTCCTGCCTTCCAGACTCTGTCCTCCCAACCCTCCTTCCAGACCATTCTTCCATCTACTAATTCAGGGATCAGCAAACTTTTCCCATAAAGGGCTGGATAGTAAATGTGTTAGACCTTGGGGGCCGTACGGTCTCTGTCACAACTACTGAACTCTGCCCTTGGACAGCAAGAGCAGCCACAGAAAATATGTAAAAAAAAAAAAAAAAAAGTTGTGTGCCAATAAAACTTTATTTATAAATACAGGCAGCGCATGTGGCTATTTCTATAGACAGGCAGGTAGAGAAACGGAAGGAGGGAAAAGGGAAAGGAGCGGGGAGAGAGGGAGAAAGCAAGTGAGATGGGGGAAGGAGAAAAAGATGAATTATGTCTTCCCTGAGATGAGTGAAACCTTGGGGACCATCTATTGCAAAGCTCGTATTTTACATATCACGGGACTGCAACTCAGAAAATTTAAATGACTTGTCTAAGTTTTAACAATGAGTTAAAGGTAAAGCCATAAAAGGTTACTGAGAGGCTATCTTTCAGTTCATGGGCAGCACTGATTTTCTGCTGATACTCTCTTATATTCTAAGCTGCCAGCTAAGAAAGCTGTCCTGTGTTTGAACTAGTACGCCCACTCAGTCCAACACAACTGCCTCTCACCGCTGGGCAAAGAGGGACAGTACTGGCCACCAGGTCCCAATCTGAGGCCAAGACAGGCCAACAGAGGCACCACCCCGGATGGCCAGCAGCCCGTGTCAAACGTCAGCCTGAGAAGCAACCAGAAATGTGTGCGGAACCCAGGAGCAATGCCTGCTGGAAACTGGCTTCCATAAACACAGTGGAAGCTGGGGCTCCCAGAAAGCTCATCAACCCCAGTGTCTGGGCATTAAATACTGTACCTGAACATAGAGCAAGTTCAGCTGCACAGGGTCTCTTGAATCTACATTCTGATCAGAGTAAAAGAACTTCCGTCTAAGCAGCAAGGTTTCGTTTTCATCTACTCCTTGTTCTCTGAACGTTCGGCTGTGATCCAGCCAGTTTACTGCAACACAACAAGACACATGAAAGCACTGTTCGCATTTCCTCCTAAGTAAAGGGAGTTGGCCAAAACAGCAGATTGATACAGACGCTGATTTCTGTGATGCCGACAGTCAGTTTTGATTATTTCTTCCATCAGAACTGTGCTTTTTAACTTTGAAAAACAAGTTTATATCTACCGTATGATAAACTGAAAAGGGAATGAGAGAGACTTCTCAGCCATTCCTAAAGTTAGCTAAAGCACTGCAATTGAATTTATAATATGCCCCCTTCTTGGGAAAAAAAAAAAGAAACAAGGACATTAGTGCTTTATGCTAAGACAACCAGTTAGGCATTTCCTCTCAATCAAGAGTAGATCTGTAGTCTGCCTCATCAAGTGAAACAACTTACAGACTCTGAGCATCATGAGTCATCTCTGAGCCTAATTAGCAAAGAGAAGAAAAATGAAAGTAATGGGGTGAGGGAGGCCTGAGGGAACAGCACAGGGGAAGGTGAGGATGGCAGAAACCCTGCCCATGAGCCAGCATGAATGTCACCCATTCTGAGAACGCACTCCTGCTATCTGTTGTTGTTGTTGGGTGCTGTCAAGTTGATTCCAACTCATAGCAACCCCGTGTGACAGAGTAGAACTGTCCCATAGGGTTTTCTAGGCTGTAATCCTTGTGGGAGTAGATGGCCAGGTCTTTTCTCCTGCAGAGCCACTGGGTAGGTTCACACCTCCACCCTTTTGGTTACCAGCTGAACACTTAAACGTTGCGTCACCAAGGCTCCTTTCCTGATATCTAGGCCCATGGAATTAATTACTCCTCTACACTTTCCACAGCACTCGTACCTATACTCCTCCCTGGGCTTAACACGCATGTGTGGGTAAGTACTTATTACCAGCCCCATGAGGTTATAGGCAACTTCAGCACAGGACTGCATCTGATCAACTCATCTCTCACAATACTTCAGAAAGTATCGTACACATATTAATAAATCCTGAGGACATGTCTCCTCAAGTCTCGCTTGGAAAGAAGTATCTACTGGAAATCAAATGAGGCCGACAGAGAAGGGAAGGGACAATGGCTAAGAGGGAATGACAACTCTACTGAAGATCAACAGACACGATGACAATGATGACATCTTCCCAAAGCAACAGCAAAAGTAAGAGCAATCAAAGGAAGAGGCTGGGGAGGCCTAAGTGAGCTGTGGCATGAATTAAGGTCCTTTCTGTGGAGGCTCAGGCAGCAAGTGACACACAGCATGGGCTTTGGGGCACATGGGGTATACATATATTAACTGTGTGGCCACAGAACATGACTCGCCTGTGATAGAATCACATTACTAGTTTGTAACCACTAAGGAAACAATCAATCTAGGCGATGGTCGTCGATGGCTGTTAACTTCTAAATGGAAGTACATAACACAACGTAAGGAGTCATCTTTATTTTAAATATGTGTGTGTGTATCTGCATGTGTACATATATGTGTATGCATGTGTATATGTACACACACGCACGCATGCATTCTCACACACTTCAATCTGATTAGGCCTCGAGTTTTAAGGAATTAAAAGGAGAGAGGAACATGTTAAATGACACCGTAGATATGCAATCAGCAAAATCCAGACTGTAGGAAGCACTATACAGCTAAAATCCTGGTTTCTAAATGCACACACACGCGCGCGCGCGCGCACGCACACACACATACACACACACACACACACACACAAACTGCAGTGGAAAAACAAAAGAGATAGAGCCTCTTAAGAGTTAAGCAACATATCACCCAAACTTACTTGGGTTGCAGTTCAAACAAACTTTAAATATTTTGAGAAGACAACAGAGAAAATGTGAACATGATTCATATATTCAACATTAAGAGTTTTTTTTTTTTTTAAAGTTATGGAATGTATTACAGTTACTTTTTAATCTCTTAAGAGCCTTTATATTTTAGAGACACAAACCTAAAAATATTTACAGATGAAACGAAAAAAATAAAAATACACCCTGTCCTGGGTCACAGACATGATGGGAGGGAGTGAGCTTGGCAGAGCCCAGGTACCTGTATCAGGCTTCCTTCTCAAACACTTACGGTCATCATCTGTGTGAAGCTTGGCCTTTAGCTTCTCCATTTTCCTCTCATCCCGTAACAGGGTCCTGTCTTTTTTGAGTGTACCTGTCCCCTCCTCTTTCTTTTCTTCCATAGTTTCTTGGATTAAAGAGTATTCTTCATAGTTTGTTATTCCTAAAAATACAAACTGGGTTATAATTATAAATGATTAAGTCATCAAAGACCCCTTTCCGCCTGCAGCTCTTAATACCCCCAAGGAGTTCATGGTGTCAAAGAAGAGAAGAGGCCTTACTAACGAGAGGGCACAGAGGTGGCCCCGTGGAGCACACATCAAATAACCATGGATGATACGCAGGGTTTTCAGCTAGTTAAGTCACATTCAAAATGTCATGTTCAATTCTTTTGTCTAATTTTCGAGAACCGAGAACAAAGAAGAGATCATGCAGAGGAAGGCAAGACAATGTCAAACCAGAAGTGCCTAAAGGAACTGGGCTTCCTTTGCATGAAGAGAAAACTAAGGTAGACAAGGGTACTTCCTTCAAATATTTGAAGGGCTTGTTGTGGAAAGGCGAGAACAGCTGCCTGATAGTCAACTGCCGAGGCTGTTAGCACAAGTACTCAAGGAGATACTACTGTATGTCTGCGATGCTGACACAGAATCCCAGCAACGGGTGGGGGACCGAACTATATGATTTCCAAATCACTACTCTCAATTTGAAAATTTCTTTCATTTTTGAAAGAGAAAAAAAAAAGCTCTCAATTATGACTTAGTGAGCGATTCAAGTTTTTGCAATACCAGTTTTTGAATCTGCAAATCAGAAGAATGCAGATACTTTCTTGGGGTTGAGCACAAATCAGTGTGTGAAGACACATTTAAAATTGCCTAGGCATCAGAAGGGGTCAAAAAAAAGAAGAGGGAAGTCATAAAAATCAAAAAGAAAGAAAGAAGGAAATATAGGCATGTGAATGCTCACCTATCCTACTGCAAATGGTAACCAGGAGTTCCCCAACCGTCTTGGAGTCATCCACCATCACTGTTTTCACAGATCCATCCAGCATCCGGATTTTCTGAGGTCTCTGTTTCTTTTTATATTCCAAAATATCCTAGAGCATAAACCATACACATACTTCACAACGTGGGTCTAGATGCAACGCTGAGTGGGAAAACAGCCAACCTAGACACTTTTTTTTTAAAAAAAAAGAATTTTCCCTTCCACTTCTAGCTGCCATCAAGTCGATTCCGACTCATGGCGACCCTACGTGTGTCACAGCAGGACTGTGCTCCACAGGGTTTTCAATGGTTGATTTTTCAGAAGCAGACCTTTCTTCCAAGGTGCCTCTGGGTGAACCAGAACCACCAAACTTTTGGTTAGCAGCCAATCATGTTAACCATTTGCACCACCCAGGGACTCCAGAGCTAAATAATTGTTTTAATAAGGATTTCTCTAAAATCCGATAATGAAATTGCACCCAAAGAAATAATTTTTATACTCACAATTACTGAAAACTACCTTCTGTAAAATGAAGTGGCATACGTCCCCCTGAAAGTCTGGGAACGGTCTGCTCTGATGAGAATTAGCAGAGGAAAAATCTCAGTTGCCTTTTTCCAAGACAGTGGTGTGTTTCTCCAGTGATCTCTTACACTGCTATAAACAATTTTTACAAACTACGCATACATGATGAGGGACATATATCACAGCCCCTAACTCTTCACAGTCGTGGGATATGGTCTCCATGACAGTGTAGAATTGGTAACAAGGGCCAGACCAAACATGGGTAGTAAGTTTGGGAGTTATTTTTAAATAAGACACTTCTTTTTTACTACACTTCTTAAAAATAGAACTATGGAGAGAAAAATTAATTGGCGTCACATACTTCTCGCTCACTTCATGGGATACTGACCTAGGTGGTGAGTTCAGTCCGTCTTAAGCTCCAAAAGCCTAGTATCTTGGAAGTTCAGCTGAAGAGAAGGCTTAACACTTTTTGACTTGTTATATTTCCATAACAGAGCCATTTTGGGGTTGTTGTTACTATTACTGGTCATGATTAACCTCACATCCCTAATTTGAAGTTTATTGAAAAATAAAACGGTAATGAATATTCAGCCTCCAACTAACTTGGGGATTACATTTTAGTTTCCCCTCAATTCTATCCCTACTTTCCATCACCTCCTACATGCAGGAAGATGCCGTATCTTACCTCTTAACTAGCAAATCCAACAACAGCATGTAGAAATCCCTTAAAATACTAACCCCAAACTTCTTCAATCCCTCTGTAGAGTTTCAAGAATTTGGATTGCTGGCATTTTCTATCACCACCTGGACAATCCTTACAAAGTACATCACATCAACTTAAAATGTCCTTTGAATCAAAACTGATTGTTGGTTTTCTCTTTTCATGTAAAGCATAACGATGTTGGCTTCTCTGGAAGGCCCACGGACAAAGAAATTTTAAAAAGGGCGGCGGTGGGGGTCGGGGGGACAACAGCATACCCCATTTCGCAACATGTAGTAATCCAGTGTTCTGCCTGCTTCCAGCCAAATGCCTTTCCTGGGGTCTTCATCCGAAAGGAACAGCCCATAGTCAGAAGCTGGGACAGGAAAAGAAAGAAAAAGAAAAGACAAAGTAGAGATGAAACCACCATCGCCTTCCAGGCCCTGAGCCTGCCGACCTGGCAAGCATGCGGGTATTGTCCTTCACCAGAGAGAGCTGTTTTGTTCTGACACCACCAGCAGTTACGGGGACTGCAGCAGATCGGGAGGAACGAGGACTGAGCTGTAGAATGCCCACAAACAAGGTTCAGGTTTCTTCAAACCAGTAGGGCGCAAGTTGTATCTAAAATTCAGCAGAAACGCCAAGAAGAACACAGTCCAAATTTACTTCTAACTGAATGTGGCTTTGTTCCCTATCCTTTGCTATAAAAACCAGGCCAGGAATTGACAGAGAATGACAAGACAGTCACAGAGAAACCAAGAGAGGGCCCGCTTAAGCCCAAGTCCACGTAGGCAAAGGAGACAGAGGAACACGTACACCTGGTATGAGCCCTCCATCACCCCAACACAGAGTCATAAAAGATCGGTGGAAGTTCCCTATGAGATGAAGCTCCACCCCTCACTACCACCAAATTATAAAAAAGGTCGGACAAATAAGCTCCATGTCCTTCGTCCAGCTGCTGTAGAGTCGATTCCGAGCCATGGTGCCCCCATGACTGTCAGAGTAGGACTGTGCGCCATAAGACTTTCAATGACTGGTTTTTCAAAAGTAGACTGCCAGGCCTTTTTCCCAAGGCCCTCTGTGTAGACTCACACCACCCACCTTTTTGTTAGCGCGAAGCACATTGAACATTTGTACCAACCAGGGGCTCCATGTTCTCCATAAAAAAAGAAACCCGTTACCATCGAGTGGGTCTCAACTTGTGGGGACCCCATGTGTTACAGAGCAGAACTGAGCTCTGTAGGGTTTCCCCGGCTGTAACCTTTATGGAAGCAGACTGCCAGATCTTTCTCTGTGGAGCCGCTGGGTGGGTTCAAACGGCCGGTCTTTCAGCTAGCAGCTGAGTGCGAACCACCTGCACCGCCCCTAAAACCCACCTCATCTAGCCCAGGAAGTACAAGGGGACGCTGGCAGGAGGGAGCAGTAACGTTTCCTGTCTGAAGACTCAGATGAGGGTCAGAGCTCCTGCTGTTTCTCAGAAAAACCAAAACAAAACAAAAAAACCAAAAAACAACCAAACTCCAAGATCTTTAACAGGTTATACATTCCCCACAGGCGTACAGCAATCGGACCCAAAGAAACAGAGGAGGAAAAATCTGGGAGACAAACAAACAAACAGAAAAGTAAAGACATCAGACACTGTTATAAAACCGGATCTGGAGTAAGTTTGGGGATGTGGGCAGTGGAGAAATACAGCGTTTTTAATGATATAAATAACGCTTTTAGACTGGAGATGAGAAGAGTTTTGTGGCAAATAGATCTTTTCAAGAAGCTCCACTCCTACCTATAATTATCCTTGATATTATGTTTGATTTGCAAGCTTCTATTTATTTTATTGTGGCAGAATATATATAGCAAAACACTTGCCATTTCAACCATTTTTATAATCTTCCTATTTTTAAGATAAATTTTACTGCACTTTCACACTAAAGGCTTGTCAGTTTGGAAACGATCCCAGTTTCTCAACCAGCAGTCAAATAAACACTCTATAGAGGAAGGAAATGCGGAGAGGAAGAAGGGAAAGTGGAAAATCAAAGTGTCTGAATGGCTTCTGTTTAAACTCAGATTAACAGGGGTCAGAGGTTTAACCAAACACCAAGCAAAACACAGGTCACCAATGATTTTCTTTAAACCTTTGAGGTAAAAGTTACAAAGCCCCTTCAAAGTGCTCGGGATGTGAGACGCGCCCCGGTCCTGACGGCAGTGGAGCCAGCCATTCGGCTCGTCTCTGCGTCGCTGGCCGTGGGAAGTTTTCACACATGGGAAACGGTCCAGAGTCCAGACACCCAACAGTTGTTAGTGGAGTTTCACTTATCGGGAAAAGGAGAAGATACACCAAAGGGTCATTTGCAAACTGCAGAGCACAATTCTGACGCACGGGACGACCCCGAGGACCACTGTGGCTTGACAACGGTGATGGTTCAGCTGTGGGAGTGGTCACCGTCATCTAAAGCCTCACACAGGAAGGAGGGAGCGTCTGGTCTAAGAAGATACTTCACTTAAAACACACACTGGTGGGCTTGCAGACCACTCAGAGCTTCTGTGTCTTTAGCCATAAAAACGCAGACTCTCTCAGCACATGTTAAGAAACCAGCCAATAACCAATGACCTACCTTGGCCAGTCTGTGCCTCGGGCACCCGCTCGCGAATGATGCGGCAGGCGTCGTACACGGCTGTGGCCGGTTCAAACTGCATGGTCTTCACCACGTTGCAGTGGCGGACACAAATCTTTAAGGACAGGGCCACCATCTTCCTGGATGATCTGAAGGCTCTCACTTAGAATCCCTGGAAAACACCAAGAGACAAATCCTGATACTCTTGATAATCACTTGTCTTGAGGGAAACACACTGGACTCTGAATCAGCTTTAAAAATCGAAAGAGAATAAAGCAGCAGTTAAAGAGAATGCTTCCAGATAAAGATGAATTTTAATAATAGGTTTTAAGAAATGAAAAGGAGAACAGCAGCATACAGTCTAAGGGGAGGCAAGCAGAATCCTTCGGGAGGAAGGAGTCTCACCTGTTCACCAAGCCTCCCCTCCCAACAGCCCTCCCTCCCTACCTGGGGTTTCCTAAAGGGGGCCCTAAAAAAACCCAGTTGCTGTGGAGTAGAACTGTGCTCCACAGGGATTTCAATGGCTGGTTATTTGGAAGTAGATCACCAGGTCTTTCTTCTAAGGTGCCTCTGGGTGAACTCAAACCTCCCACCTCTCAGTTAGCAGCTGACCGTGTTAACTGTATGCACCACCCAGGGACTCTGAAGGGTCCTAGGAAGTGGAATTCCCCAGATTAATATCTTCAAGGTGAGACAGAGGCAGAGAGCCTTGGCCGTCCATGGCTGCTTCTTGAAGATGCTGTGGTCAGCAGCCACGGCCTCCCTGGGCTCCCTCTCCATCAGCATCGGGGGCGGGAAGAATCATGAGTGACCCCTTAGGTACCCTCATAGCAAGAGAGCCCTACCACACCACATACCAGAACCCCTGGTTTCTAGGCCCAGCTCCATCACTAACCAAACCAAAAAACCAAACCCGTTGCCATCAAGTCGATTCCGACTCATAGCAACCCTATAGGACAGAGTAGAACTGCCCCATCGCTAACAGACTGTGTAAATTTGAGCAAGTCAGGCTGGCCACTCTGTGCCTCCATTTCCCCACAAATAAAGTAGCTCCAGTGGTATCAGCTTTGTGCGATTTTAATAAAGAATCGAATCCAGAGGGGGATCAATGCTAGGCCAGTGCACAGCCCTCACTAATGAGGCCAGAACGGCCACTTTTAAACACAAAGAGTGCCAGACGGCTTCCTACTGTTTCAGGGTCTCAAAGCAAACAAAGTACCAATTCAATTTTTATTTGGTTCAGACAGACTATGAAGATACTCGCTTTCCTTCTAGTTCAGTGGTTTTAGGAAATATCCAGGTTTAGGCTAGGTTTGAACTATTTCATAAATGTCTTACTTTTAAAACGTAAGGCTAACCATTTAGTAAATTTCATTTGAGTTGGTGGCTCATGGTTTGTTATTTTGAGTACCTGCTGTACTTCATGGTCAGAATCCCCACCCCCTCAACACTCACCGGAGCCAGCCTCTATCATACGCATGCCTTGGAAACAAGATGGCGGCAGAAAGGAGGTTCACTATCTTTCCCACACCTCAAGACGCAAGGCAGACTTAACTGCTGACTGTCATCCTGGCAAACAAAACAACGCACTGCACGGTTAGTAGCTAATGAATCCTACAGCAGCACCCGTTAAAAAACCCATTGCCGTCAAGTTGATTCCGACTCATCGCAACCTTATAGGACAGAGTAGAACTGCCCCCTAGACTTTCCAAGGGGGAATCTTTACGGAAGGAGCCCTGGTGGCGCAGTGGTTAAGGTGCTCAGCTGCTATTCAAAAGGTTGGCAGTTCAAAACCACCAGCAGCTCCACAGGAGAAAGATGTGGCAGTCTGCTTCCATAGAAATTTACAGCCTTGGAAACCCTATGGGGTCGCTATGTGTCAGGATCAACTCAACGGCAGTGGGTTTGGTTTTAATCTTCATGGGAACAGACTGCCACATCTTTCTCCCTCAGAGTGCCTGGTGGGTTTGAATTGCCACCTCGCGGTCAGCAGCTGAGCGTGTAACCCCTGTGCCACCAGGGCTCCTTCTAGAGCAGCACAGACAACATAAACCCATGGGAATTTCAAACTCACATGCCTTTCTTGTCTTGTATTAGAGAACCTATAGGTAGTAGGTTCTGTCCCTACTACCTAGGCCCCAGCTGCCTTCATACCTCTCTCCCACTTAGGAATGCAAGTGCTCAGAATCAGTAAAGAGGTCAGAGGCAGAAAAGGTAACCAGCTGATCAGGGCTCCAGACAACGGACGGGACCTCCAGGGCTTGGTGTCCTAGCATGTTTGATTGCTGGCTTCCTACAAGCAGGTGACTGGGTCACCTGAGTTCAGAAGGCATTGTCAGTGAATGCTCCTGAGTCCAGGGCAAGGTTTCCCTACAGTTTCATGAAGTGGCCATTCAGGCCACCCAACTTTGAGGTCATTCTGACCTCTGCTCACATTCTGAATGAACTCTATCAGTATAAATATGAAAATACACCTTATCTGAGAAATGTCAAGACATGTTGCTCAACAAACAAAAGCCATGTTTACTGGGCATGTGCCCAAAACTAAATTCACTTCTCACAGCCCGGGCAGTGGCTGGATTGCTGACATGGCAGAGGAGTTGAAAACAGCTGACAGTTTTCCACCTACAATATGATGGACTCTTAAAGCCTGCAAGGTGTCCTGTGCCTCTTCTTACAGCCATATTTAACCAACGACCCCTCCGATTTGGGGCAACAAAATTTAAACTCTAGAGATAAAGTGACAAATCTGCTGTGATGCAGACAGCTCTGTGGGTTGGTTGTCCCTTGGGACTGGTGACGAGGGGTTTCCTGAACTCCTGAGATCCTTGAGCATGGCTGGGGATGACAGTCAATGCAGAAGGCCACAGAACTTGATGACCAGAGAGAAGGGGACAGTTAATCTCTTCCAGTCTATCCCACCTCCCCTCCCTGGGAACAGAAAGCACCAGAGGTGGCCCTGCAGGAAGGCTGCCCTTCTCAGACTAAGACCTGGGCTTTCTGAAGAGAGAATGTGGTGGAAGTCCACACTGCCAGGGACTCCTGCAGTAACTCCTGAATATGGCCACGTGGAGGTCTCTTGCAATCGAGAAAAGAGGGGACAGTACAGGGTGGAGCCAGAAGGACGTCAAAAACTGCAGGTTCAGGAGAGAATGGGAGGCGGGAAAAGGAGCAGAGGGGAGGACACAGGAGCTTCTGACCTCTCTCCTCAGGAGGTCTGCTGGAAAGACGGCAGAAGAACAGGCAGAAGCGCTGATTTATGCTTTTAAGGCTTTTTATCAAACGTATGTCATCACCCAATTGTGGCAACCCCACAGAAGTATCCACCTAGACAGAGTTTGCACCTTATTATGGCCTTAGAGATAGTCCCAAGAAAGCTAAGTGCCCTTTCTGGAGACAAAGATCTCACTACACATGAGCTCCATTCTGGGCCCGGCCCGTGTGGCTGCTGCCTGGTTCTGTCAGAGAGACAGGAGTTGGGGGCATCTTGGTTCATGGAAAGGGCGCTAGACTGGGAGTTAGTGGTCCAGGTTCAATCCCTGGCCTGCTGACCCCTTGGACCTTTGGATCCATATCTGCCCTGTGGAGAGCAGGAAGTTACTAGCTTTTTAAGGAACTTGCAGCTGACACCTGATGCTTGGCCAACTCTTCCCATCAGATGCTCTTGTTTCTTCATCCTAATATCTCACGAGGAAGCCACTAAGTGGAGACCACTGTCTTAGCTCAGGGTAAATGTTCAACAGAACCGGAACACCGGAGATGCACTCTGGGCTCGTGTTTTCTATTTTTCTACCATCCAGAAACCACTACTGCAAAAAAGCATCAATATCCTCATACAGGAACAGATGACACAAAAAATACAAACACAACCCAGTCATCCGCAAAGGCACTGTGCACTGGTCTAAGACGAAAAGGCTCCAGCTTCTTCTTCTTACTCCTGCCTCCCTGTTTTATCATCACGGTCTTCCCATCCACGGAACACAGCTAACAATTCCCTTCTCAGGAGTGCTAAAAAATGAAAATTATGTACGTGAAAATGCTTTATAAAGTACAAAAGTCGATATAAAGGCAAGGCCTTTGTATTATTATCATGCAAGATGATCGCCCACAGAGGAAAACCTCAGTGAGCTCTGAAATCAAAGGACATGGTGATTTAATCACTATCCCAAAGGGAATCCACCACTGAGCTGCTTCTGGCACCACTCCCAATGGAACAAGACACTTGCAAAATGGACACCTGTTAGAATTAACTACCTGACTTACCTTGTGGCAAACAGAAGGAAGGATTAAAGCACATGGCAATTTAGAAGCATCAGCTAAAGAGGAATATGTATTTTCCACACCTGAGAGAACTCTCACTATACATCCACTGAAATTCTTGAGAAAATGAGCTGGCTCAGAGAACACACGCTGGTGAAGATCCACACTCACTCTTCCCTGGTGATGGCTTCAGGGCAGCACACTATTGACACAACCCGCGCTGAGCCTGCCTCCTCTCTCTGTATCTCACCCCTTTGCTAACTCCTGCCTCTCCAGGCTTGCGTGCTGCAGGCTGAGCCTAGGAGAGCGGAGCAGGTGGCCTTTCCCAGGTGGACTGCAGGAGAACTCAAAAAAGCCAAATTTGTGCACGATTTTGTGAGCCTATGGTTGTTATTTCTTTTACCCCAGTTTTAATGTATACTATCTTACTGAATCTTTGGTCTTTTTTTGGTAAAAATATAGGGTATAAACTTATAAGACATGCATTATTCTCCCTTTTCATAATCTCTTCCCACTCTGCCTCCCTTTGCCCTGACTACGTGTGTGAAGGCAGTCTGGATCAGCACAGAAACCATTCTGTGGCATCCACTGTGGATGGTGTGCCAACCATGCCCGTGGTGAAACCCAGACATTCTCCTTTTAAAATAACCCTTGTTCAGTCCCCAGGAGCTGTAAACAGCCCAGCACAGTGGCAGCAGTGCAGGCCGCCCAGGCCAAGCGCAGTCCACACGGGGACAACAAGGCCAGCTCCGGCCAATCTCCTCCTCTCAGAAATAAATGACCATCACTGGTCGAGGCGAGCACCTACCCCTTGGATATCAGCCCTGTTCTGTGAGGGCCAGGAAGCGCTCCAACCCCTCCCCTTACCAGCAGTGACCCTGAGCTGGTTACTTATCTCTTCTCTGCCTCAGT